GATGGTACAAGGCAATGAATGACTTTTTAGGAAGACCCAAGGCTGTGAACCAAGCACACTGTTAATTTTTGAGTCATCTTCTTTCCAAACACTATGGCTTTTGGTATAAGGACAATAGCTCAGAGGTGTTTGGAAGATCTGTTCTCTAACTGGTTTATGAAAATGAACTAATAATTTCATGTTATATATTTGTGACATTTATATTTGAAATGGGAGTTATACAGAAGAGGCTTGTTTCTACCATATACAACCACATTCAATGGGACTAAAAAAGTTGTCACAGTGCAAAGGGCAGTAATTATAGTTACTAGAATCCCAGTATAATCCCTTGCAAATTCTAGCTTTATATAATGTCTAAAATAAATAGATGTACAATTTTGATATATGTTTCATATCAATAATGGTTAATAATTGTCTTTATCATGTAAGCAAAAAAAAAAAGGGTAGTGTGATTTAAAATCTAACCTCTAACCAGTATCATAATTATAGATGACTTATATATATTTTACATATTTATTTATTTATTAGTGTTTTATATTCCCTTACAGTATTATATATCAGATAATATGATATTGAGAATTCTCCCAAGATTTTCTATGTTCTTTCTTTGTATTTACTTGTATAACAAGGCAAAGATGGTGCCTACAACTTCAAAACAGTGAGATATTTAAGGTACTCTGCTATTATTTGACCTTATCATATCCTTTAATTAAGTTTGCTGTGTCCTTCTTTATCTACTCCATTTAGATTACAGCTGTAATTTCAGAGATTATTTATGATGATGTTCTTCCCAAATTTACTTGTGTGCAAAATTTATCTTGAAAACAAACAAAAATGATGCAACATTTTCTTTCTTTTCAACTTGTTCTACTCCTCCAACCTGGCATTCAACAAAGGTTTGTATTCATAGTACATCATCTTGTTGCCCACAATCTACCCAAATGCTCTTAAATATAAAACTCATGCCCTTTATAGACTCTCCAAGATATGACCCTTACAATAACTGGAGAGGATGAGGGCACTGTATTAACAGTGGTTATTTATACTCTCTGCATAGATATTTCCAGGTATTAGACTACTGAAATACAACATAACCTGTACAGTTCCCACATTGCCAATGGTGTGTGAAGAATAATGTAATTTAAAATATAAATTTAGCAAGTATTTTTCAGAAGTTCTAATTTGGAAAGCATGGATATCACTTCCAGATAACTTAATGTATACTGTAGTTACATGGTAATAGATTTAATCTCTATCCACTCTAGCTGAAAGACCTAGGTTTAGTTTTAAATTTCCAAGAGTAAGCTAAATACTCGTGGAAGTCAAATGAGAATACTGGTAGGTACTTTCCTAGATTAAAAAAAAAGAACATTACAACTTTATGAAAGAAATGAGTGAGCAAATAATGTGTACACTCATGTATAAGAAAGAATATCTTCTAACTGCCAAGGACGAAATCAGCAGGATCAAAGGATAAAGCTCTTGAAAACCTTATCTAAATCCCCTACCATTACAAAGGAGTGGAAGACATTCTCAGCCAACTTTAACCATGTTAATCAAGACAGTATTTTAGTGTTACAGCAAATAATTTCTGAATTAAGTATAGCTTTTATACTGTAATGATTTAAAAGTTGTAGAGTCTGGCATAATTAATAATTTAATTTAAGGAGGATATTAAAAGGCCTCTACCTCAGAAAAGCTTAGAAACTGCTAATTGGGATAATAGGAAATTACTTGTCTTTTCCCAAATGTCAGTGAAGTAGGTCAGGATAATTAATATGCATGCTGACTTTTCAGTCAAAGGAAAACAAGACATGTCTCATCAGTGTACTTTTAGTGCCATCTATTTCAGACTAAAATGAGTTCAGCCTGAGAAAATGGTCACAGTGTGACTCAGTGAAATAACTGAATTTAAAAATAAAACAAAAGGTAGCTTAACCATGAGAACACAAATTGCATTCTGTACTATAGAAGACTAAATTGCCCATCATAAACTAAGGTTAAATTTTACAATTGCGAGGAAATTGAAACTATTCAGGGTATGGCTTTAGGTAAATTTTCTTTGGCATTAATTGCGAACATGTGTCACTTAATGTATAACATTACATGAATTGAGACAAAATAAATTATATAAAAGGAGTTTGGTTAATGATAGTTCTTTATAAAGCAGTTTATATCTTCATGTTTTCTATTACCTGCTTTGTTCATTGTTTAATTAGTTCCTATTTTAAATGTTTAGGCAAAATGAAAAGAAAAATGTTCTGAGCCAGAGATATAACACTCAATTCCTCTGCACCTATGCACATGGTTAGTACATATGCTCTTTAGTAGACCAAACTGAATGCTGGCCTCAAGCAGGATAGAAATATGCTACTGAGAGACTGAGTTTTGCTACTTTGCATTACTTGTCATTCTGTGTGTTTATATGAATGAGTGCTCTATGTCAGAGGATGTACATGTAAGTGTGATGCTGACATTATGTCCATGGATTCTTGTTCTGTGTATAATTTATTTCTGGCATAATACCAAGCAGTTCCATTTCAATAAGCAGTCTTTGCACTTATTTCAAGGGACCAATCCACACAGGGCATGATTATGACATCTTTCAACTAGATCCTAGATAGTATTTTGAAAATACTGATTTCTAAAGTGAATCCTTCTCCAAATGAAACTTCATCATGTTATACAACCCTAAATATTTAGAACAACAATCCCTCTGCATTAGAAAGGTGAATATACACTGCACTGAATAGAAAAATCTAAGTAAAATGGAATGCAGTGCTCCATGCAGAACAGTTTGGAGTACACAGAAAAAAACAAAACAAAACAAAACAAAAAAACAAAACAATGAAATGGGAAGATTTATGGAGTACTCCAAAAGAAATAGATTGGGGTCTCACGGATAGTACATAATCATTTTAGTGAAACAAATTTTACTGAAATTGCATGGACTACACTACAGTATTGCACTGTAATGACAAAATGTATAAAAGCTAATTTTGTTGACAAACTCACTAGAGCTGTTTTGCCTGAGCATGTTTATTTTATAAAGAGCTCACTGAAAAAAAAGTAGAAAGCATCAAATAATTATGCATTTAATACAACTGGAACCTGGGCTTAAAAGAAAATCCTATAAACACATGGGTACATCCATACGTCCAAAAATAAATCCTATATGCAGAACAACAAAAAGAGGATTCTAATTAGAGACACTCTGGGCTTTTGGAAACCATGTGTCTTTGTACATGACTAAGCTAAGATAAACTCCATAAATCACTAAAAATAGCATTGATGATCCTGTCTATAGAATTGATACAAAGTTTTCTGAACATAATTTTCTATTCTAGAACTTAATACTATTTGTCCTCCTCCCCAGGGTTTACATAATAATAAACAAAATCAACATATTTATGCATAGTTGTTGTAAAATAAATTTTCTAATCAATACTTTAAATTTAGAAAATACTTTGTTAATTATGGTAATAATTGCAATATTAAGCATGTATTAGGATTGACAGAACTCTATATAAAAGCCTAGGGTGACTCCTAAATATTCCTTCTATAAGAATCTTCCATAATCTCTGATAGATATGGGTGTTGGTGGGGTCTGCAGGTATGGTTTCTAATTTCCTTTCAAGCCTAGATAGTCATATCTTTTGTAATGTTCTTTTTGGAGACTGTGGCTAAAATGTTCTTTACACTGAAACTGCCTTAACATGTGAATTTTATTACAAGAACTTCTTATATCGTGTTGATGGAAGAGGTAGACTACCCATTAAGTTATGTGAGCATAAGACATAAGAGGATCTCATTTTAAAGGAACCAAGTTTCACACTGAAATGAGATTCATAACCTGTTAGTAACATGTAAGCTAGTTTTTCCCTCCCCAAATAGTAATGAAGAACTTAAGCTAATGTATCCTATAATCAAAGTCCCATATACTTGACTAATGGGGTGAGTATTATATTTTATTTGTATCTCAAAAGAAGCCAAACAAGTAATTTGTTTATTCATCATTGGTTCCATTCCTCTGCAATAATCCACTTAAATTGTATTTAAATAAAGATTTTAATGGTATTCACCTACATCTTTTCATTTTACTTTTAGGACTTACAGACAGACCTTTGATTTTAAATAAATGAGTTGTATCCTTTCCCTTAAACAAGGTTTCTGAACCAGTGTATCATAGTAGTTATGATAGATAGCTAGTAAATAGATTCAGCTTTTTTTTGAGACAGGGTCTCATATAGCCCAGATCAGCTCTAAGCTTGCTATGTATCTGATGATGACCTCAAATTCCTGACCCTCCTGTCTTTACATCCCAAGTATATAATGTATGCATCACTATGCCTGACTAAGAACATATTTTTAAGGTAAAACTCCCTAGAGGGGAGTAATCAAAAGGTTACTGAATCATCATCTCCTTTTCCATTAGAGTTGAGACCCATAATAGAGTTTTGTAATAAATGTACATACCAACAAAATAAATGCATGTTTCTGGCAAACTGGTTTCTAGACAAAGCTAAAGTTTGTGATGGCAAATGCTGTATGAAACTTCTTAGTTTTTGGTGGTGGTGGTGGGGGGAGTAATTTTTGGACTTTTCCTTTAAATCCAACAATGAGAGGAAAGTTATAAATACATTTTTGTTAATGTTAGTGGGCTTTGTTAACAGCCTGCTTGAAACATTTACCATTTCTTAACTCACACTTAGGGGGCAATCACTGTGGACTGACAAGGTGATGCATGAAAGTGAGAAGCAAGTAGGGAAGAGAAGAAAGTAAAGAAATGAAAACCATTAACCATAAAAAGCAAATGGGAGTTGGGAGAAAAAGCATTTGTTCTAGAGGTGCTTGTCCTGGTTCATAAATTAGGGAGACCTAACTTCCTATTCAGCATGACCATTCTTTTATTTTTTTCCCAATGGAAACAACCTACAAATAAAGAAGCTGAAAAGTTATAACTGTGTATACAGGCTAAGGATTTCCAGAAACATACTTACTTTTCTCTCCTATGTTTTCCCCTGCTGCCTCCCCTTCTTCCTCTTCTTCCTCTTCTTCCACTTCTGGTGGCTGTATGTCATCTTGTGGGTCACAGGCACTAACTGGTGCATTCAGACAGCAGTGGTTGAACCCGCTATCTCGAGGCAGAGTAAAACTTCGGGGCTTGCCCCCATTGCCATTTAACACTTGCATCCTTTCACTCTCAGCTAAAGGGTATGGACCATAGTGATCCTGGAGGTGGCACTTCTGAGTGGGAAGTGTAGACTGCCGCCTGTGCTCAGGGGAGATGGCTGCCGAGTCAGAGAAGACAGAATCTTCCAGAGGCAGAGTCTGAAGATAGTGTAAGCCCGAACTTGTCAGAGGTGTCTCGATTAAATCCTGCCAGGAGCGGCGCTGACTGGCGGTCTTGCGAATGGGGGACACAGCACTGCTCCCAGTAACTTCCTGGCGAAACTCCTCATGCGAAGACTGAGACTGAGAGGTCTCTGTGGAGGAGAGCCGGCTGTGTTTTGCTTCCACATAAGGACTGGCACAACTCATCTGTGGAAAGGAGCTCCTTGTCAGTTTCCACAGAAATAACAGACCATTTCGACAGGCAAAGAACTTGCTTTCTTTTTACCACAGAGAGTTTATAATGGCTGGAGTCTTACACAGTCAAGTAATAACTGAGCAAGTTTGCAGCCATCTCTAAGTTTAGTCCCCAATTTATACTTTTAAGAGTTAGGGATTCCGATATTTTGAGATATGGATGGAACAGTTGTCCATGAAACACCTCATACAATATGACAAATCTGATAATAATGGAAGTATGAAAAATTGTAAATGTTTATGTAAGAAACACTCAGCAACTAAACAATTTTAAAATCTTTACATATTTTGAAATTCTAAGGGGGGGGAAAAACCGCCCTTAGATTCCTATTTCTGGATTTCAGGCAGCTTGTGGGTGAGTGTATGTGAGAACAAGTTGCCTATAAACAAAGCAAATTTTCTGCTTCTTCATAAGTAAATATCTGTTTCTATGGGTACCACAGAAAAGCTGTCTGATGTTCTGGTTAATTCTGGGTAATTTTTGGAGAACTGAAAATACAGGTAGGATGAAATTATAGTTTGTTGGGGACTAGCACTTTCTGTGAATATAGGCATGATAGAGCACATAAAAAGAGATATATTTTGTGGATGAATTTAAAGTTTGGGGATATATATATTATAGTATAAAAGACAAGAAGGAAGAATAGCATCAATAAAATGCTATAAAACATTTTCAGTGTGACACTCTACCTGGGACAAGCCTTACTCCAGCTCCAGACACTAGCAGGCTAGCCCAAGTGCCTTTATTCAAGAAGCTACATTTGTTAATCACAAATGGGGCTGCAGTGGCAGCTAGAACAAATTTAGCTGAGATAACGTACCACTCCTTTTGGAAAAGGGAGAGAAACTACTTAGCATCATCCATGGGTAGATTGCTACCTTTCAACATATTAAGTATTATGTTGAAAAACAACATAATAATATGAATAGTTTCTTTCCAAGATGCTACTGTTGTTCAAAGGAAAAAGACAGAAGAATAGTAGAACAAGGGTGCAGAGGAAATATTGGGAACTGGAAGATTTAAGTGGTGTTGCAGGCAGGAGGGTTGGTGAATGGGGGGGCAGGGGTAGGGCTAAGCAAACTTAAGGTAAGGTAAGATAATTAAAAAAAATAATTTCAAAAAAGTGAAGCTGTGGTTCCCCTTTCATCTTCTATAAATCTCAAAGGAATCATACAGAGCCTAGTGTTTTTAAACAAAGGGAAAATACTTGGAATAATGCAAAGAGGTTAAATTATCTTGACTGGTATAGTCACATAAACTAGCTTTCTTTTCCGTTGTGGAAGACTAAGACCTAAGTTACAGAGAACTGATTATTTTGGTAATATGACCATTAAATTAAATGGAGACACTGACATATTCTCAGCAATTTTGATGGGAAATGGGCATAAATTGGCATAGTCTCAAGAAAAGTAGGGTAATTATCTCAGTTAAAGACTGAAGTATTGTCTATACATAGAGTAATTTATAGATTTAAGAAAATTCTGTAGAATACACACACACACACACACAGTAAAGCAGATACCATGGCTATATCCAAAATATGCGTGCGCATGTGCGCGCACGCACACACACACACACACACACACACACACACACACACACACAGGAGCATGTGTTTTTTTAGTACTGGGGAATCAGTACTAAACCCAGAGATATGTGCACCTGTGCTTCTTATTTGTTTTTCAAACTTGACACAAGCTAGAGTCATCTGGGAAGAAGGAATGCCAACTGACAAATATCCACATTGAACTGTTAAGTAGGCAACTTTGTGTGGCTTTTTCTTGATTAATGATTGATGTGGGAGGGCCTTTGGCCACTGTGGATAGTGAAACCCCTGGGTAGGTGGTCCTGAGTTGTATAAGAAAGCTAGCCCAGCAAGCCAGTAAACAAAGTTCCACCAGGGAGGGCCTTTGGTTGAGTTCCTACCTCTAGGTTCCTGTTGTGCTTGTGTTCCTACCTTGGCTTGGGTTCCCTCAATGATGGATTATGATTAGAGCTTCTAAACCAAATAGACTTCCCCAAGTTGTTTTTTGTTATGCTTTATTCTTACAACAACAGAAAGTAAACTAATATAGCAGATATCTATTACTGAGCTATACCTTGAACACTATAGTGCTAATATTTATCAGTTGTTTCTAAAAGATATAAAATTGACTTTATTAGTATAGAAGCAATTTATATCTTTTTCTCAGGAAACTTTTCTGTTGTTTGAAACTCCCCCTTTGTTGTTGTTGTTGTTGTTTGTTTGTTTGAGGCAGGGCTTCTCTGTATTTCTTTGGAGCCTGTCCTGTGTAAGGAATAGGGTTTTTCCTCCCGCCACTGGTCTGGTCCTGCCGCCGCACCAGCCCCAATTAACACACTGAGACTGTGTATTTGATACAATGCTGTTGGCCTGGTTACTTGTTTCTTATGGGCTAGCTCTGTCTTAATTATTAGCCCATTTCTATGTATTTCCACGTGGTCTTACCGAGAGCAGAGGAATGGCGGTTCTGTTCTCTCCAGACTCTCCATCTTGGCTTTCCTTACTACTTCCTCTTTCCTCCTTGTCTCTTAGTCCCTCCTACCTTCCTTTCCTATTGGCCAACAGTGCTTTATTCATTAACATCTCCCATCAGTCCTGGAACTAGTTCTGTAGACCAGGTTAGCCTTGAACTCACAGAGATCTGCCTGCCTCTGCCTCCCAAGTGCTGGGATTGAAGGCGTGCCCCACCAACACCCAGCTTGTTTTAAACTCCTTTAAACCAGGTGAATTCGTTCTAACACCTGTGTAAACTTAGACATAGTTTCCTTCTGATTTTAGATCACCAATTTTCTTTTCCCTATGAAATCTGTTTGACTCATAATTTAATATATTTTCAGTTTAACATATTAATGGATTGAAGTTCAACCTGTCCTGCCAAGTACTAAGCAAACTCATATTGAACTTACAGAAGGAGGCCGTGGGTATGTATCATAGGGGGGTGGAGGGCTGTCTTGTTTCGGTGTTGACGGAGTATCGGCTTCTTCTTTGTCACTCTCACTCCAGTAATCTGAAAGTTTACAGACATGGACACCTCCATGTTTTATTAAGTATTTATAGCCACATTTCTCAAGAAAAGATAAAATCAGTTAACCAAAAAAAAAAAAAAAAAAGATTTAAATTTAATTACTACAGTATGTTCATCATCATTGCTCTACCCAAGAGTCATCAAGTTTCATTGTTAGCTGTTTTGGAGAAGAAAGAAGAACACAATAGCCTAATCCCACCCTCATTAAAAAGTAGTGGCACACAGTCTTAACTGAGCCAAGAAAAAGGCACTCTATAAGCCAAAACAGGTGTAGGGTATGTCTAGTTTTAGAGCATTTTTTCCCAGAAGCCTTAATTAATAAATACCACAGGATGTTTCTTAAAGTGTGTCACATTACTGCGATGAACACTCAGAGAAGAAAAGCAATATACCATATGCTGCTGCATATCTCCTCTGATATAAACATCTCCAAAATCAATGTTCTAATTGTTTTTGGCTTCAATTCATTGGTTATCTAACAATTGCTGTTTTCTAGAGTCATGGTGACATAAATCTTTATAACACATTACTCCCACCTCTCCTTGGAATGATATGGCAAACTAAATCATGCCAAATGCAAATAAATGCACACTTGCTGATGTGTGTTACAAGCACCAAATTTCCAGAACTACTTAAAAGAGTAGGGGATATAAGCTGCTAGACAACGTTACTTGGGAGAACTGATGCAAGAAGGAAGTTAAAGAACTCTGAGAGATAAATTAAATCAAATCCAACAAAAGGTCAATAGTCAGAATCAGTTAGATTATATATCTCAGCCATTAGTGCTGATTGATTCCTATGTGAGTTGCAAGCAAAGAACTAGGATGATTACCACAGCAATTTCAGGTGAGAGAAGAGGTATTAAGATAAAAGGAAACTTGTATGAAAATTTAGATTCTAAAACAACTACCACAAGGCTTAAGCAGAATTCAAAGTCAAGTGAAAAAAATCACAGCACACACTTTTGTAGAAGCCCTTTCCTTTCTAGAAAGTCTCGATTGTAATGATCGCAAATAACATCTCCCCCCCCCCCCCAGAAATCGTTACATTTCTGGTAGGAAATGACAGAGCTGGATTGGAACTGAGAAATTGCCTTGATCCAAAGCTCTGATTGGATCTAAATTTCTGTGACTCTTGCTTGACACATCAAGAAAGTTTAACATTAAGTATGGGGATGTGATTTAATTTTCCTTACCCATTCCTGATTTTTAACTGTTGATACTGTGAATAGAAAATCTCTAGTAATAGATACTGGACATAAAATAAACTGCTCCTTCTATTCAGGCCTTAAAACATAAGGACCCTGACAATACCCATTGAGAAAAAAATACACTGTCTAATTAATCCCAATTTGATATCAATTTTTCTTTTCTTTTCCTTTCTTTCTTTGTTTTTTTCTTTCTTCCTTCCTTCCTTTCTTTTTTCTTATTTTGAAATTGTTACTGAGGAGGCTGATCAGGATTTTTAAGTTTGAGATCAGCTGTGGTTACATAGCTAAACCCTGTCTCAAAAAGCTCAGTGGAAATAAATAAAGGAAGATACTGGACAATGACTACCAATATAACTAAGACCTCCCCCAAAGATGAATTGACAAAGATAACCAGAAACAGATCTAATAAATTGACTGTAAAAAAAAAAAAAGCATGACTGATATTCAGAAGCAGGTAAATGTTACATTCTTCACCATACAACTACTTCATACATTGACACTCAATTTAAGTTCATTGTTGGGCCTATTTTATAACCTGTAAAAGAGCAGCTAATAATAACAACTGACTTTTGTAGTTGTATATGGGGGAGTACTAAATAAATTAACATATATTCAAGTGCTTTGTACCTAGAATACACTCAAGAAATATTAGGAGCTTTTATCTTCTTGGATATATTTGCTGATTTTATGCCAGGACAGCCTGACACAGATCACAAAGGAAGCAAATGCCTGATGTTCATTTTCACAGATATTCTTTTTTTTTTCCTTTGTAGCATTTCCGAGCATGAGAAATGAAATTGGAGTCCTAGGGTCTGGGCAGTTTTGTGAGAGCCTGAAATCTTCCTGGAAGTCAATGCTAGCATACACCTCCCTGCTCCCCACTCGAAATAGTGAGCTTGCTAAGATCATTCTACTGTGATCCTTCCCACTATTTCCAAGAATACTGGCTGAGTTTATACTTAATGTTTGCCTTGATACCTTGGCATTTTGGTGCAATACCTCAAGTGGCCCTTATTAGAACACTGGAAAAGGAGATGATGACTAGCATTTGTCCAGGGTTCCATAGCTGTTACCATACGTAAGAGATTCAAAGTCTTTATTTTTCCTCCTCAGTTAAATTAGGAAAAATTCTAATCCTTATTTAACATCATTTTGGCTTATTAAAAAGAAGTATCAATCTAATCATTTGCTGGTTTTTTTAAGAAAAAGAAGAAATATTACTTTACAAATCAACAAATCAACTTCTTATGCTAAGCTGGAAGGGAGAGGACAATGCCAAAAAAAGGCAACAGTGAAAATCTTAGGCTCTTTAAGAACATGAGAAATATTATACACACTATAGCTTTGTGGATGAAACCACACTGTTTTTTTCTAAGAGCAAATGAACTTTTTAGCTCTCTAAAATAATATGAATATATGCTTTGATGTGTCCTGCAAATTTTATAAGTAATTATGAATAAACATGGCCATCAGTAGAAGAGTGAAAATTCCCTTTCGCCATTATATGTTGACACAGAAGACATACTTTTTAGGACATATTTTTAAAACTTGTTCTTATTTAGAACTATCAAAAATATACAATATAGGTTACTTACTTTTTTGTGACTAAAACTTTACAATAACATCAATGAATTATTTTTATGGTAAAATATAACAATTCCCTTTTCTAAAATATTGAAGTATACCCCATATTGCCATTATCTACATCCATCTGACTGTGCAAAAATACACCAGAACTTTCATTATTTACTCTTATGTAAGTATAACAGTACCTGTTCAATACTTTGTCTACTCCCTACTTGTTCTTCTCAGCCTTTGGGTACTAGTTCTCTTTTTAACTTCAAAGAGCTATATTGTTTATAGCTGAACCTCAGCATTAGGAATTATTCAGGAGATAACAAATAACCATAAAAGAGTGGAGTTGACAGGAATAATTACCAGTTTCCTAAGAAAAAGACCAAGGGACTTAACCATATATTAAGGAGGAGGTCTAATATGTTTCTGATGTATGTTACAGTGCCTTTTCACTCTGTGGAAATAGCAAATATCATCATTTGCCTATGATTTTTCTACCAAACTTTAATAGGCATTAAAATATATACATACATAATAGAGCAAGGCAGCATGCATCCACAAAATAAATACTCTTTGGAACTTGTACATTCAATATAAATTAACCTGTTCTTTCAACCATAGTGAAACTTAGTTCCATAACAAATGAAATTCATTATAATCAAGGTTATGCCCAACTTGAAAGCAACATCAAGTAACAAAATTCTGAATCTTAATAATTAATAAAAATCCTATGCTACATACAACTTCATTTTTCTAGATTAATTTTCAAATCTACATATTACCTATATACCCATATTTGCAACAAATATCTTTAAACAATCACATGAGAACAGCATTAAAAGAGCTACTTCAGACCCATTCAATAAAGTTGAAAATGAAGGCTTTTTTTAAGTACTTTTACCATAAATTAAGGTCTATAAATTACACTGAGGTGTAAAGGTGAGGAAGTTTCAGCCACCAGACACATTTACTGCACTGCAGTGTTATATGAGGTGTGCCTGTGCATACTGATTTGATGGAGACGGCCTCTACATTATTTGAAGACTTGTGCAATCTGCTTCCATTTTGTGGAATATTAGTGTTATTGCTTTTGGTTCACACCATTTCCATCTTAGAAAAATCAATTTAAAAAACAACCAACCAAAAGTCTTTTCTACATTCCTTTCCCAGAAGGACTATGTTTATACTTATTTTTTCCCCTGGAACTTGATTTGTATGTTACTATGTTTCATTTTCTATATTGCACCAAACTTATCTTGTTTTTAACAGAACCCAGTATAACTGCAGGATAGATGTTTACATTTTCATACAAAGGTGGCACTGAGGGACTTTTGCAGAAATATTTAATAAAATATTTTATCTTTTTTTCCATTATCAATGCTGTATCAAGAGTCACACTTTAATTCTCATCCTATATACTTTTAGAAAGACTGTGTAAAGGAACAAATTTGAAAGTAACACTTAAGATTTAGAAGTGGTCATATAAGTACCGCGTGCTAACCGATTGCGCCACTGGAGCTCCCATGGAGCCCTCATCTAATACCTGTTTGAAACAGGAGCAAACACCCATACATAAACGCTGAGTCGAACTAGAACTCAGATGCAGATAGAGAGGACAAGACCAGGCTGCAGAAACACATAGAGACAGCTGACCTGAACAAGGAGGAGCTAATGGGCCCACAGACTGATAGCTGGGAAGCCAGCATGGGACTGACTCAGGCCCCCCCTGAATATGGGTCTCAGCCAGAAGGACTGAGCAGTCTAAGGGACCTCAGACAGTGGAGCCAGGATGTATCCCTGGTGCACAAAAGGACCTTGAGAACACATCCCCCATGGAGGGATAACTGCCTTAACCTAGAGACAGGAGAGAAACCCTAGTCCCTACTTCACATGACCTGTCAGAGCTATATGACCCCAAGTGGATGGCATTCCCCTACATATGGAATTGGGGTGGGGGGATGGAAGGGGAGGGTGGTTAGGGTGCATGTGAGGGGGCAGAGAGGGTAAAAGTGAGGGAGGGAAGGAGGGAGGAAAGGAGAGGGAACTGGGATCGACATGTAAAATAATAAATTAAATAAAAAAAATGCTTGGACTCCAAAATTTAAGTTCAAGGACAAGTTACTGTGGGAAAAGGATTTCTATTTTTGTTTCCACAGAAAAAGGAAAAGCTGTGGATTCCTTCCAGACTAATGTGGTTTGATCAAGCCAGACTGCCTGAAACAGAGTACCAGATGATCCTACATTCAAAACAGGTGGACAAAGCAGCCTTGCAGACTTGCAAGCCAGGATTTCTGCATCTTCTTAGAATCCCCCATGACAGGGGGATCCTCCCCTTACCAGCAGGAAGTAGCTTGGAAAGAATGATGCCCAAATTCCTAAATATTGTCTATAAATGTTTGTTTTCATTTAAATGGACTTGTTTATAAAAAATAAATATAAAAAAAGAAAATTATGTTGTGTCATACAAAGGAATGGCAGTCAACAATAAAGTGCTAATTACATGAGCATAGGCGAATCTCAAATGTGTTAGACTAAGGAAAGAAATGACTTGATGCTCTGTATGTCCAGCTCTCTGGTGAGATGTACAAAATATACAACTGACGAGCAGAGGCCAAGGGAGGAGAATAATCTTATGAGGCAACTCTGAAGGACAATAAAATATTCCATGTGTTGAGTAGGGTAGCTACTGCACTGTGTGTGTTTGTTAGAATACACTGTTATGAACAAAACTAATTCATTTTCACCTATGTAATTTATAACCAGATAAAATATCCCAAATATCCCAGGTTTCAGTCAGTTATAAGATAGATTTTGTTGACAACTATATACCAGACATAATAATTAAGGTACTAGGTGCATTAATTAATATTAGTTAATTCCCTCATCTGTAGTTTTTGCTAAGGTAACTGCCTATCTAGTGAACGTTCCTAGTACCATTCTGTGATCACATAAATTACACAATTATTTCCTAAAGAGGTACCTTTGCTTTGAAATATATGTTGTGCCTTTCAATCATAGGCAAAAAACTCAGTAAAGGTGAGATACCATTTTGTACTGCCAGCAAATGGGGTACAAGCACATTCCTTGATTTCCAAGTGCAAACATCCACAGGCAGCAATTGTCTGCTGGTTAGTGACTGTCCAAGGAAATGTAGCAAAACCTTACATGATTACAATGCATCTGGATTTATTCACTCCTTGGTACTTGCAAAAATAAAAAAAAACTCTTTCACTCTAAACTTCACATCTGAGAGGAAGGGACATCTAAAAGTCTCAGGTGTCTGTTCCCTGCCTTTTCTAACCAATCCAAAAGCAGAATGTTCTAGGAACAATGGGAGTCCAGACCACCATTTCTTACAAATGGAATTTCGGAAACTGATTGAGACCTAAACCTGAATAAAATAACTTTTAAATAACAAAAAAAAAAAAAAAAAGAGTCACACATGATATTCCTCAAAAAATTTTCATTATCCCTGCCTTTTTTATGTAAGACAAAAGTGTAATATGATTATAAAATAAAAGTTATTTCTTTACCTTGTTCTTGCTTAATCCTCTCTCGCTCTGCATATCCTGCAGTCAGCATGTTAATTCTATTAAGCCACCTGGAAAAAAGAAAGACATCAATGACAATTCATTTACTTGTTAGAAATACTTATTGCAAATGTCAAAGAAGAAATAGGATATAGGATAGTATTACATATAAAATATGTTCTTTATTAAACTTGAAAAATAATTGAAATCTTCAATAGGCAATAATCTACTGCAATGCAAATTGTTCCCAGACTGAAGATGTAACTTCAATGCAACAGTTATGCAAAGCTGTTAATGTGTGTAATAAAAAAGGTTTTGAAATGACCAAAGCCATTTCAATTCTTCTCCTTCAAATGTATAAACACTCCAAAATACACCTTCTCTTTTGTTTTTTTGTTTTTTTCAAAACAAATGGTCCTTTGGAGACACTATTTAATAGTCAATCTAATTTATAGAGATAGAAAAAGTTACAAGGCTTGCCTGTAAAATTAATAGTTTTACCATAAAATAATAGTTTTGAATGAACTCATTTAAGCTGAATTACACAAGGGGAAACACATCTCCCAAATAGTTTAGAATCTTGTCTCTAAATACAAGAGTATTTAGCTCACCAAAGAAAGTACATATACATTTTTAACCTATTATGATCTAGAAAACATTTTCATGAATAACATTGAGTTAATTTTTCTTAGTGCTTTCTTCATTAACTATTGCTGCTATTGTTAGTACAGCAAAACACTATCTCAGTTTCTTTATTTAGTTGTGCCAGAAATCTTAGTTACAAGGACACACACACACAGTGCACACACACACACACACACACAGAGAGAGAGAGAGAGAGAGAGAGAGAGAGAGAGAGAGAGAGGCACATATCTGTGTATACAATTTTTATGGGAAAACTCAATTTAATGAATACCTTTATACCCTAATTACTAGGTCCTGTTACTACTGGCATTACATATTTTTTAAAACCTAGAGTACAAATATATATTATTCTGTACTATGTTATAATTTAATACAAAAATAATGCCCTTTAAAGTCATAAAATAATCAGATAAAGCACTATAAAATATAGTTATGGTCATTTAAAAATATCATTTCTTTAATTAGGCATATTTTCAAAGAATACATATGGAATAAATCAATACCTACATTATCTTGCTAATGTATAATAATCAGGTGACCAAACAAAGCTGTATATGGGTACCTTTCCATATTACTACTAATGTGTAAATGATTTTAGCATGGACTATTTTATCCCATTAACAGTTTTTTTTTTTTTTTTTTATGTTTCTTTGGTTGTGAGCCTAGCCTCTAACAGCTGAGCCAGCCCATTCCCCATGGAGCGATACTCTCAGCCTAGATACACTGGGGGGGGGGTAGGCCTTGTCCCAAATGATGTGACAGACTCTGATGATCCCCCACGGAAGGCCTCTCCCTCCCTGGGGAGCAAAAAGCAGATGAGATGGGGGTTGGTAGGGGCAGGGGAGGAGGGGATGGAAAGGTAATTGGGATTGGCATGTAAAAAAAGCTTATTTTTAATTTAAATAAAGATTTATAAAAAATAAAATAATTATATCTAAAAACACCAAGTACTTCTTTAAATTGCCTATTGAAAGTAAATACTAGGGATAAAATTATAAAGCAGCACAACCTTTGTGCTTAAAATATTCAGATATCATTTTAGAGGCATCTAAAGAAAAGGAAATGAGCTTAGAGAACAAAAGTATATACTCACTAATACTTATTAATATTGAAGACTTAGGTAGCATTAAAAATACCTACTAAGGCTATTTTTTCTCATTTGTATATAAAAGGGTCATTCCTTCAGTACAGAAAGGCTAAGTTTCTTGCATAAATTACATAGCTAAAATAAGTTGTAATCTAGGGTTCAGTCTTGTCTAAAGGGCCACTCCTCCTATGTGGGAAATTATATGCAATATACATTAGCTTTTGCAATTGTAAAAGGGAGGATATTTTCATTTTTATATCCAGTTTCTATATTTTTTTAAATAGAAAGGGAAAATTAAAGAAAGAAAAGTAACTTAAAATGGTTAAACTTGTAATGTGGAACAATGTGGGATACAAAGAGGAAACTATGTAGGTTTTCCTTTAGCCACCAAATAAACAGAGCCATCAAACCACTTTGCTATATAATCCTGAACAGTGACAGATGAAGGTGATAGGAATGACTACTATATTAGATAGTAGACCTAAATTATTAAAATGGATATTCTATCAAATATACTTAGAACCTGAGTAAGTCAGGTTTTATGTGCCTTTTAGAGCATCTAGAAATACATGTTCAGAATACTCTTATAATTTAACATCTAAAACCAGACCCCTTTGTGGTAATATTTTGGATTTATATTTGTTATGGTAGTTCTGTGGTAAAATTGACAGTCAACAAAAGCTGAAGTTTTAAAATGTTATTCTTTATTATTATTTAAATATGAATTGTATTCTGTGCATTTGAAATTTAAATAATGATTTATTTTTGTAAAATTAAGTATGATCATATGTACCTATAGCTGGACTACTCAAATTTTAATTCATACAGAATCTACAATGAAGAGTCTTTAAAGATTATTGAACACAAGGCCTAATTAAGTAATTTGAGATGTAAATAATACTTTACCTGTTCATGTCATCAAGATGTTCAGCAGCAAAATAAAAGCTTTTGATTTTAGGATGGCAGGCTTTGAATGCACTGTGAATACAACAAAAAATGAATTAAATTTACTTCTTACAAAATGAAAAAAAAAGATTTTAAATCAAATACTTTTAAAATTTTGTGTTAGAGTTGAGACAGGCAAAATAATGTGATCAAAATATATTGTCTGAAAAATTTTAAATGAAATTCTAATTTGGAACCTGTGTAGTGGCATATACCTTTAATCCCAGCACTTGGGAGGCAGAGGCAGGCAGTTCTCTATGAGTTCAAGGCCAACCTGGTCTACAGAGTTCTAGAACAGCCAGAGCTGTTTTTATGTATGTGCACATGCCAAAGAAAAACTTTTGAGAACTGGTTCCCTCTAACCATGGATTCTAGGATTGAATTTGGGTCATCAGGCTTGCATGTAATCATGAGACATCTTGGTGGCTCAAACTAAATAATATTTATGAATGAAATTAATGCAATGTCTAACCTTATTTCACATATATAATGCTTCTATCATGACAGAAATAAGTAAAATTTCATACTATGTTCTCAAAACTACTTTCTTATAATTTAAATTTTGAAGCACCAGATAAAGAAACTATAACTTAAAATCTAGAAATTCCCCCTTTCTCCAAGTAAAATTAACTTACTATTTTTTGCGGCATTCACTGGCTCTATCAATTTTAAATTCAGGCAGACTGATGAATCCTTCTGCTTTTTCATCCTAAAGAAACAACATTTTTGTTTAGTGTATCATACCAAGGAGGTCTGAAGCTAATTAAACCATGTAAGTATGACTTAGATATTCAGAGTAATAAATGTGCTACTCATTTAATTCATAATTCCACTTACATTTCATTAATTCAACATATCCATACATTAAAGAAATATTTTGAAAACAGAATTTTTACAAATTAAGACACACACATTATTTTTATATTAAATTGAGTATAGAAAAATAACTTTCAAAGTAAAACATATTTTATAAAAAATTTGGAGGCTGAAGTATTTCAGTGGTAGAGTTCTCATTTGTGGAGGAGGTACTGAGCTTTGGGCTTGATCTTTAGAACATAAACAACAACAACAAAGTAAAAGGGAAAAAGATTTCAGGCAAAATATACAAAATAGCTGTACATTTTTAGTACAAAATTAAGGAGTGATTTATGTGTATGACTGTTTCATCAGAATGCATGTAAGAGTATCATGTGCATGCCTGTTGTCTGACAGAGGTCAGATGAGGGCACTGGATCCCCAGGAGCTGGAGTATTAGATGGCTGTGAGCCACCATATAGGTGCTAGAAACAGAATAAATGCTCCCAAATGCTAAATAATATCGCAGCCCCATTTTCTATCATTTTAATATTTGATATAAAATACAGACTTGTTTACCCATTCAGATTTTTAATTTATAGCAATTTGCTAATCAAATTTCAATGATTTTTTTCTATATAGCTATTATTTTCTGTATGTAGTAGTTTAGAAATTAAATAGGTCAACTTGATTTTCAAATATGTGGTTTCAGATACATCACACACACACCATTTTTCATCTGAAAAATTTAATAAAATTCATAAGTCCTCCTTTCCTTAATACTATTTAATAAAATAAGGTAGGAGAATTATCCAAAATACTATATTTGCCTCAAATTAAATCAACTGTAATGTGATTTGGTGGTTACACTTTTCAGTCATTGTGTTCCTTGTCCTAGTTATGAGAAAGCTTCATATACTTTTACAATTCCGTAATTTTGTTTAATTTGCTAAACAAGTTCATAACTCCTTATATATCAAATTTAAGTAAGATAAGCAAGATTATGCTCCCTCCCAATATTCTGAAGAAAAATGCTACTCTCAGCTCTCTCGCTCTCTCTCTTGCATTTGCTTTATTTCTGTTATTAATGAACTGTACTAAAGTAAAAAATTTGAGCAACTGAAAATTGTATGTTATATACAGAAGCAGTACTAAATTTTGTTTTAAATATTTTTACCATTGACTTCTATCTTATGTTACATTTGACAGCCTTAATTTACAATCTGAAATATTTTGGAATATTATCTCATCTTAATGATGCAACATAAAATACCCTATTTCCTGCAAAATAATCTGAAAATATGTACTACAACATTACTTATTTATACTTTAAATGAATAATAGTAATAATAACTTGCCAATGACTGAAATATAGGCACTATTTAATAAAATGGACAAAAGAATTTTATCCCTTCTAGTTTGAAAGATAAAATATAATTTAGTATATACAGATTGTCCTATAGATTTACTCATAGACTTATCTATAAGTAAATCACAATAAAGAGAAACAGATAGTTTATTTTGATACTACTTGATTAACATATGAATTTAGTATATTTATCAAATAAAATATATATTTGTTTATTATAGAAAACAAGACATAATGCAAGCAGATTTTATTTCATTATATGATTGTCACAAAATACTAAAGCAAAAAGTATTTTCACATAAGTATATTGGAAATTATTAAGATCTTCCTAATAAGTCTTCTATTGATGAACATTACTTGAACATTTAGCACTTTGTCAGACATTGTTTATTCATTCATCTCTAAGAAAGCAGATGAAGAACTAAGCATGGTCGCTCAAGTAGTGTAACTGTGTGTCTACTCTTGCCCCATGGTAAAAGACAGCAGCATAATAGCTTGTTTAGGGAACAAAACATTCCCTAGATATTGTATGTTATAATCAAAGATCTAATAATTATGGTAACTTGAAGGAATCACTATTCAAATAAAATTGATTAATATTTTAGGGCCCTATTTGTATAAAAATAACACACACATTATACACATACACACATTATAATAAATTGAAGTAGTAGAGAGGTACAGCAAACAAGTCAAAGCAATGTCAAGGCAATTCCAATGAATAAAACTGACTTTGGCATATTTATTGAGATACAAAATTGATGGTGATGCTTAGCCGAGATACAAATATGATATACCAAAAAAAAAAAACCCTAGAAAGTCATAAGAACAATTAAAATACATTAAAATACCTTCAAGTTGGCCAAATGTAATGGATACTTAATTACAAAATTAGTGTACTTGTTCATTTTTTTTTCAGGAGAAACTGAAATAGATTGAAACAATACTTACTTAAGTTGCTACATAGTTCCCCCTTCCAAACAGAAACAGAAAAACCCTATAAAACTTTGAGCAAGGGGTTTTAAAAATCTCCATTTTTAGTTAAGTTACTACATTAGTTGCTTGGTATCGTTAGATACAGAGAATTTCACTATATTTCAACTGTGCTTCAGATATGTTGCTACATTAGAAAAATAGAGCAACTGTTCTTCCAGAATACTGAATATGGATCCTGAATTGGCTTGAGGATGATACGAATTAAAATCAAATGGCTCAAATGTCGGCACTCTTTGGTACAGATAATGAAACAATGAGAATACAAATGTGCTCTGCCTTACCTCTTCATTAATATACCAGTATAGGGATGCATCCTTTAGGACAAACCAGTATTTCTTCCATTTCTGTGAAAAATAGCTCTTTGCATCTTTCTTTTTCCAAAGCCATCCCTCACAGTCACCACGGCCAAGATCCTTGCAAGAAATTCGTCTTTTGCTTTTGCCTGCGATAGCTCCTAAAGATAGTGAGTAGTAATAGTCTTAATTTTGGAAAGTGCATAAAGACAAAAGATTAGTCCATAATCTTAAAATTATCATTTTCTAATTGTGTTATTACAGAAAATGGGGAGATCTTTGATGACCTTCTTTCCATATAGATGACAGTATAATTGGAAATACATAATTCTTATCTCAAGTGTCTTTGAGGCCATATGTTATTAAAGGTATCTGCATGGTAAGTGATGTGAAACACACTGGCTTCAAGGCAATGAGAGAACTGCTGGTGATTAGCACAGTACAAAGGAGGAAGTTAAGGGTTCATTTTCTTTTATTACCTTTGTTTTTCTTCTTTGATTTGTGCTGCAGAGAGGACTGCTGAAATGTCTGAAATTAAAGATAGGGAAGACTATTACCTTACATGCAGAGTGTGATCCAGAGAACCATGGGGCTACACAGAACTCTCATAAGCTGAATGATGACTCTAAAGCCAGGTTAGAGAAGTACCTCACCTCATTGATATTTTAAAATAAATTAATATAATCAGATTACTTAACTTTCTCATCATCATTGAGGCAGGAGAAGGCCTATCAGTATCCTCATTTTGTTGACAGATTCCAGGCTAAACACATTGGTGAAAGTAAATGTTGTCTCCCCCATAACTGCTCCCTCTGAGAGACTCACTGTGGTTTCTAACACAGTATCTCATCTGACACTCACATAATCTGACAAACCAGAAGGCAAATGTGTCTTTTTCATTTCGGTCTCCCTTAAGTCTCTAAATCTATAAGCACTTTGATACATATTTTAATCTCATACCTACTATTATCAGTATTACTGGTGACTAATCTTCTTGTCAATGGTATCAGCACCCCAGCTTCTCATCTCTGATTCTTTCATAGGGACCTTCCCACTCCTCAACCACCAACTCTTACAACTATATGTCCGGTATTTTGAATATCTCCTAGACACTGCCTTTAATATTTGTGGATTATAAAGTCCAATAAAACTGTCTTATCACTGAAAATAATATTGTCATCTAAATCATTGACCATACCAACCAATTGTGCTTATATTTGTCCTACCTACGTTCCTTTGTACTATTTTTTGCATCTATTTATAACTAGCTAAACAACTTAATTCTAAGTACCTATATAATAGTTTACTATGTTTGCAATAAAACCCAGAGCTGTATTGATTCACTTAGCTCCTAATTAATAACTTTACTGGCTCTACTTCAGTGATATAGTCATATAAATTGCTCACTACTATAATAAGCTTAATTATGATTAGCTAAGGAAGAGAGAACAGAGATTGTCACAGTCCTTCTTTGAAGTGAATGTACTTGCGAATAACAGATTTTTCTTTTCCTACACAAATGATTAAGGGTCAAATACATTTTGACTATATAAAATTCATATCAATAATATATTTGCTCCTAAAATAATATATTTACATAATTTTTGTTGTGTGCATGATTTATAAATATCTAGTACATAAGGATGGGCATCAGATATAAAGAATCAGATAATCTTTTGATAATACAGTGTAAAACAGAAATATAATGACCCAAATCTCAAAGCACCATTAATGTCTGTTTGTGTTGCATGCATATATGTACACATAAAAATGTATATATATATATGTACACACACACACACACGCATGCACACATATATACAGACACACTCACACAGTAACCTTTGTAAGAATCATGGCTCTAGAAATTCACAATTACTTTTTGAGGGACAGCATAAAAGACAAAACTCATTATGCATATTGGTAATTCAGGCTAGTGTGTTTAAGTATATTTAAGTATACTTAATATACCTATGATTATTTTCCATATATTGTTTCTATGAAATTATTCATTCAGTTTCTGTGTTTTGTGTTCCCACAAGAAATCATTATAGTTCCTAACTCATTACTCTGAAACATGACAAAGAAGGGATGATGTCTGTTTTTTAAGAAGCTATCAATATTAATTTCAGCTGGTAAGAATTGGGTTATTTCCACAGAACCAGCTGACTGACCTAGAGAGAGCACATGGACCCCAGGCATAAAGCTGGGGAATCAGCATTGAACCAAACCAAGCCCTCTGAATGTTGGTGCCAGTTAGGAGGTCTGGGCAGTCTATGGGACCTCTAACAGTAGAACAAGTATTTACCCCTAGTGAACATATGGACTTTGGGAACCCATTCCCCATGGAGGGCTACTCTCGCAGCCCACATACATGGAGGAGGGGATGAGGGTGAGATGGAGGGTTGGTGGAAGGCATGAAAGGATGGGAAGGAGAGAGAACTGGGATTGATGTGTAAGTTTGTTTCTAAATTAAATTTTAAAAAGAGTGGAAAAAAGAATTGGGTTATTTAATGTTGTATCTTTTATACTTCTTTCTTTAGTTTATTTAGAGAGCCTCATGCATACTTGAAAATTTCCTATTACTAAGCTATGCCTGAGGCCTCCTATGCTTTATGTATAATATTCCTTAGAGTCTCAAGGTCTTTTAAAAACTTACAAAAAAAATAGTTCTCCAGGTCTTCTTTCAACAAGATAATCTTGTTTTTCCCTATAAATATGCAATATTTTAATAAATATCATGTTTTCAGAGTCCTATGTGGTTGAAAATTAAGAACTCCCAGGTATGCAATAAAAAATTCATCCATATTCAACAAGGAAAATATCAGATGTTTTATGAATATTTAAATATGAGGAACATTTTAAACAGAGATCATTCCTTATTTTTCAAATGGCCTTTATATTTTCTAAAATGAAAGGATTAATTGCTTTAAGTCAATTATTCAAAAATTCATGCAAAAATAAATATCTCTTATAGGCTCTTGCATAACTGTGAGTATTAAATTCTATTTTTATGCTCAAAATTATAAAATTACCTTTGAATAACAGTTTGGCTGGGCATAGTATCTTCAATTTAAAATAATGAACAATTTAAAAATAATTTTTTAAAGGGTCTCAGTAGGTATCTCAGGCTGGCTTCAAACTCTAGATCCTTTAGTCTTAGCACCCCCACTGCTGGTATTTTAGGTATGAGTCACCATGATTAGCTCAACCTTGGGAATGGGAACATTTTATGTTTTGGCATTCATTGCTGTTCTTATGACATCTATATCTACTCACATCTCCTGGGTAAACTTTGGTTGAGGTGGGCAGTAAAGATGAGGGGATGGGGATGAGAAATATGAAGGAATGGGATGATGGGGATGGGGACAGATTATTAAGACAATGAAAGAGTTATCTTGATAGAGGGAACCACTCTACAGGGTTAGGGAAGAACCTGGTGCTAGGGAAATTCCCAAGAATCCACAAGGATGACCCCAGCTGAAATTTCTAGTAATAGTGGAGAGGATACATGAACTGGTCTTCCCCTGTAATCACATTGCTGAATTCCCCAACTATCATCATATAGCCCTCATCCAGTAATTGATGGAACCAGACACAGAGATCCACAACCAAGCACCAGGCCAAACTTCAGGAATCCAGTCAGAAAGGGAGGTCAAGGTTACGATGGAGAAATCTACAGAGACAGCTGAACCAAGCTTGTGGAAACCCATGAACTCTAGACAGACAGCCTTGGGAGTCTCCATAGGCCCTCTGCATGTGGGAGAGACAGTTGGGAAGCTTGGACTATCTGAGGGGCCCCTGACAGTAGGATCAGGATCTATCCTTGGTGCATGAGCTAGCTTGTTGGAACCCATTCCCTATGTTGGGATACCTTATTGCAGGGGAGAGGGGCTTGGTCTTGCCGAACTTAAAGTGCTAGACTTTGTTGACTCCTCCTGGGAGCCCTCACATAGTGGGAGGAGTGGATGGAAGTGGTCTGGGAGGATGATGGGGGATGGACTGTAAAGTGAAATTTAAAAAAGACATCTATTTCTACTCTATCACAATCTGTGCTTAGACTTTTGCTAGCTTTTAAGACATTTTTCTCTTCATTATTTATATTCTATACTTTCATTAAGTGTCTAAAATATAATTTATCCTAATCTTATTTAGCATTCATTAGGTTGTATTATTTCTTTCATTTTGAATAATTTCAGTTATTATTTGTTTAAATTTTGTCTTTACCCTTTTCTCTAGATGAAGGTTGGCATGTGTCAATTCATCAAGTATGTGTATTTCACATTTTCCCTTTCATTATTTGGCACTGTCCTTTAAGTAAATTAATTCTACTCTTTTCCTTCCTATTTAGTTCTCTTTCTGAACATATACAATCTAAACTTTATCTAATCTGTTATACTTATTTCACTAAATCTTTACATTTTGGGGATAAACTGTTGGTATTGACTCTAAAACAGCATTTGTCTTTGAATTTTGTGTTTTGAAATTTAAGTACTTTTGTAATTATGCCATATTTAATCCAATGTATAACATATCACCTGATTGTTCAGTTCACTGCTCTTTCTTAAACATTATTTTAGACACCAGAATTTAGACTGAGTAGAAAGTTCTTTCTTTTTTTGCTAGGACTTTTGCTGTCTCCTGTCTCTATTCCTTGGGTCCTTTCAGAAACTAACCAGGACTTTTTTTTTTTTTTGATGACATTGCATACTGTTTCATTCATATAGTTCAGTATAGGAGGCTTGGCCCATTTTTCTGAGTAAAGGTATGTTTTGTATCCTATTAACACCAGGAATTCTCTTTGGTCAATGGTTGTATCTTTAGCAAAACAAAATCTCAGATGTGAATCTACTTCTCTTTGACTTTCTAGTTTCAACCAGAGAGTCAATTATTAGTTTTCCAGACACTGCTAAGGTCACTTTGTTTTCAGGTTCTCATTACAAAACCTATGGTCATCTCTATTTCCTACTAGATACATAGCTTTAGTGCCCAATTACCAGAGAACTTTTCCATTTCTGTTTTTTTTTGTGTGTGTGTGTGTGTCTGTGTGTTTGTGTATATATTACTATGGCCATCTCTCTGCTTGTTTTATTGCTACATGTTTAAGGCAGAATGAAACTGAAAGCATTGTATGGGAGAGGAGGTGTGTATATGACTCAGTTTAAAACACAAGCATAAGAGCCCTCATCTAGTAGCTGATGGAAACAGAAGCAGACACCCACAGCTAAACACTGAGCTGAACTCCTGGAATCAAGGTGCATAGAGGGAGGAGTGATAAGAAAAGGGGTCAAGACCAGGCTACAGAAACCCACAGAGACAGCTGACCTGAACAAGGAGGAGCTAATGGGCCCCCCAGACTGATAGCTGGGAATCTAGCATGGGACTGACTCAGACTCCCTGAACATTGGTCTCAGCCAGAAGGCCTGAGCAGTCTAAGGGACCTCTGACAGTGGAACCAGGATGTATCCCTGGTGTACGAAAGGACTTTGGGAGCACATTCCCCAAGGAGGGATACTCCCTTAACCAAG